ACTACTACTACTACTACTACTACTACTACTACTACTACTACTACTACATATCAAAATTATCAACACGTGCTGACAAGCCGGAAACTTAAAAAATTGCCTAGACTTAAATGGACTCTTGAATTCGGTGCCGCAGAGTGACTTGAACCTCACACGTTGTGGGCCTCATGGCCGAAACCACTAGTCGACTACAAACCTCAGCTTGGTGAAAGGAAGATCCATGATTAAGTAGAGACAAACATCAACATATATATACCCTATGGAACACTCATATTTTACATATATTTGTAAGTTTACATATTCACTATTCACATCTCGTTGGGTGCACACTGCCTTTTCCACGACCTCGCGGATGAGCAACGGCCTTTTCTTCAGCAAATGATAAGGTCACAGCTGCCAGACACCGTCTCGCCTCGAACTCAGCACCGTCTCGCGTCGCGGGGACGGTTTCCTTGTCGGATCTAGGACCTTGTCGGGTCGGTGTGTTCCTTCCTGCGGTTTCGGTCGGTGGTTTCGGTCGGTGCCTGGATCTTTTAGACGTGGTTTCAAGGTCGGTGGTTTCCTTGTCCAAACTGTCTGTGTAGTTCTTTCCTCATTGGTGCGTCCACCAATAGAAGTTGAAACACAAGAGAGTCACGATAGTTCATGATTCAGGACGGACCATGTAAGAAAGGCTTCACTTTCAATTTTGTTTGGGGAGCATTCACTGGAACAACAGCAGGGCATCTGAAGCTATGCTGCTCCAATCCATCGATGCTGAACAGTGAAAAGACACACTGCTGCTCCAATGAAGAAGAGCGGGGCGAGGTTCCATGTGGTCCTTCGTTTTTGATCCTCCAACAAGTAGTAAATATTGACCATATATATAATATAATATAATATATATATATATACATAAGGTCTGAGAACGGGTGAAGTTCTAAACCTCAACATATGTTGGTCAACCTATCTATATGCCACTGATCCGTCATCCAGCCATGTCCAGCCCCTGTGTTGCCAAAAATATTGCGATCACGTTTAGCCTCCTCGCCTAAAAACCTCCAAGCTAGTTTGGAGGTTGAACCTCAGCACCCCTCATGTTCTTTGCCAAGCCATGCATGTTTGATATTTGATATGTCCTTCTTTCTGGTTTTCTTCCCAAGGAGAAACCGGCGCCCAAAACGTCGCATTTGAACATCTATGAACAATGTGTACCCCGGAATCCCTCTATATTCTTAATCAACTTTAAACTAGATCGACGAACTTCACTCTCACTCACTTTCCCCGTTTGGGAACACCGGTACCTCCGTCCGCACCTGGCTGCAGCGTCACCTCCGTGGGCGCCAGCGTGCGGAAGTGCAGCGTCTCAGGTCCTGTCCGTGACGAGGGCGGCATCCAACGGCGAGGACCTGGAGGTCAGTTGTCGGTTGCCCTTCTCCAGTATCAAGCAGTTGTAGGTTACTTCCTACTCTGGCCCCTAGCAGTCTTGGTGTAGGTCAGGTTGCTCTTCTCCAACCCAAGACCTGACTGAGCGCGACATACGCTGCAACAAATGGTCCTGGACATAGGCCATAAACAGACTGACTCGCCGGCAAATGGTCCAACAGAATCAACAATCTGACTATCTCTGACTATTTGAGATCAACTTATGCTCCCACGCCGGCACGCGCGCTGCAAGCACAGGCTTTCCGGCGCGTCGGGCTTGGCGCTCAGGTGTTTGGAAAATCCATTCACCAGCGGGGGTTGAAGGTTGAAGAGCAGTTCTCAGCATAATGCCAAGTAACTATCAGAGAAAACTCTACCTGATTTGAAGGGACTCAAGTGGGCAACTCTGAATTGCAGTCTAGTTTGGTTTTAACTACCACCTTTACTTACTTTTGACTGCGAAACTGCACCCAAAGATCCCTGGGCATTTTGGGAGGGAGTCTTCTAAACTTAGATACTGGGAATCGTTTCACCTGTAGTCGCAAAGCTACTAGGAACTCTAGTGTCCATGAACTGGATGGTATACTAGAAGCTACTAGATTACTAGAATCACCCATCCATCTCGTGGCTCCAGGCATGGCGGATCTTCCGAACCGCCTTTCTCCGGTCCACCTGACGCCCCAAACCCGGTGACGGGGTTCCAAGGTACGAGAAAACGCCTCTCAATGGATGGGTGGGCCATCACTTGCAATCGATCCTGAAAAGCTTCGGAATTGTTGAAAGGACATGTCCACCCATCCGGAGTTCTGCGCAGCGAGTTTCGGTGCCTGTGCTCAACTTCACCTGGTTGAAGCCAAAGGTCTCCAATCGGAGGCCTCGGAGCTCCGGCCGTGAGGGGTGGACGACCAACCGGAAAAACGGATGAAAAGGAAGATCCCCTACACCTGGACACATGGCCATGAATCTGCATGTGAACAATCAAGAAGAAATGAAGGAAGCGTACAAGTATGAGAAGTCTGAGAAGTCTTTTTCTGCATTTGCTTGAAAACTGCATCTTGTTGAAGTTATCATCCACAGATCCAGTCCCGTGGTCTTTGAGGTCCCCCACCCAATGAATACAACGACAGCGCCCAAGCTGAAGCTCTGTATCTGTATATCTGTATCTATGCTGCTAATAAAATGAATACGGATTGACTCAGTATGTGTATGCTTAACAATGCTTATATCACACATATTTTAGACATACAGAGTGTAAACAAACGAAAAACACCTTGTAGAGCTCCACCAGTTCCCAGTCTCCACGTCGTCTCTGGGCGTCCCCCAGCCCGTCTTCTCCAAAACGAGGCCCTCCGACGCGTCGACAGCTTCGCCAGAGACGCTCCCCATGCCCTGGCAATGTATGTGTATGGAGGATGTGTGTGTGTGTTCATGTGTTCTTCCATCACATGTTTCCATACACGCCATACATACCTGGGATGTATGTTTGGGAGGCCTCATCATGTTCCACAAACCCAAACAGCCCAACGACTCTAGTGACTAGCTGACAAATCGTCTAGTCAAAGATTCCATGCAAGTCTTTAAGGCTTTTGTGGTTTGGGTATCTGGTCAAAGACCCCAGCGGGTTGATGATTCTATCAAACATTATAAAACTTGTGATACTTTGGATTGCAGCACTTAAGGCCGGGGATTCGATACAAGAACGTGGCAAGACAAGAATTGGCAAGTATCCAACAACCAAAAGGATCTAAAGGGGTCAGGGGGCGACGCTTGCAATGGCCGCAACTGCAGCTGCAACTAATTTCCCTGAACGCACTGAACAGCCACCCACCGCTTACAAGATGTACAGGTTGTCAAGCTACTATACACCATGTTTGTACTATCAAACATATTGATCTGGAAGCAGATCCGGCAAGTTTGACTCGTTTTGACGAGTTTGACACAAAAAGCTTAGGTACAAGTCTCAGATAGTCTCAGGCTCAGGATGACAATCTTCAAGCTCTAAGTAGCTCCCAGTGGAACTCAATCTTGGTACTCGAGCCTCTTGGCATCTGAGGCTGGCTTGCAAGCCAGCATGGGGCAAGTGCAACCTGAGGAAACATCAACTGACGGTGCTCTCTTCACAAACGCCTTGTGGTGTTCCAAGTCATTCATGGCTGTTCTCAACTCTCAAGTGCTCTCAACCCAGCATGGAACGCATGGAGGATAGAACGACACAAAAAGAAGGAGTCGTATTCCTTCGTGTTTCTTGCTCCATCGCCATTTTCGCTCTCCCAAAGTCCGCGGAGCGTAAGCCTGCGCCACCCGACGGAAGCATGCGGCTGCGCTTGAGGCTCCGCTCTTGAGCCTCCAAGGGCTCCGGCTCCTGGCAAAGGCATTCGGAGTTTCCGGCTTCACTGCAATGACTACAATCACTGGCGTCTCCAAATGTAAAGAAAGCCTCTTCGCCACGAGGATCACGGTCGTGACTTCATGCTTCCATCCGGACACTGGTGGCAGTGAACGACCCGATGCTGCGATGTCCTCATCTTCCTCCCATTCCATTTCATCTGCGCCAGCATGGGACACCTCTGCGTCAGTGCGGAATGTCTGGGTCAGGTGAAAGAAAAACCCATTGCAGTTGAGTGCTTACAGAATTTCCTGGTGACTAGTGTGGTCTCGAGTTGTTTTGCTGAAATAAACATAACTATCATACACCTCAGACAACTTGCGAACATCCACGTCACATACCCAACACTCAAATGGTGATGCCTCTACCAGGTTCTGGGTATTTATTGATTGCTTTTGGCCAAGTCACTTGAGCCAAAACATTCGTTGGTTCAAACCTATGGCAGTAATGAATACATGTTCACCCAAGCCTGCCAGACCTGAAACATGTTTATAATTACTGACTGCCCAAACAGATTTGGGAGAGTTGAGCTTGAGGCGGGACTTTGATACTTGCATATTTGGGAATATTCTACAAGCACATCCAGATCGTTCTGGTCGAAGATCTTTCCAGTTGCACTTTTCCCGCACTGGCCCCGAAACACCATTGAAATTATTTAAAAAAACACACCTAGATAATATTCACCGCCTGTGTTCACGGTGGTTCAGGGTTGCAGGTCGCTGGAGTCATGAGTTCTGGCAAAGGAAAACCGACGTCTTGGCTCTTGGCGCCTCCAAGGTCATGGAGATCCGACTGGCACCCAGCTGGACTTCGGTTCGGGCGCGCACCTCGCAACTGGACTTCAGTTCGGGAAGGATTTTCCACACGATGTTTTAGGGACTGATCTGTGGGGTGATTGAAAAGGAGTCAATGCAGGTAAGTATATTATTCAGTTATATACATATGATTATATATATTGTTTTTGTAAAGAATGATATATATATATATATCAGATGTTTGGTCCCATAGGGTGAGGGATCAAAAAATACAAAAGATCAGCATCAAAAAATATTCAAGAGGGATCAAAAAGAACAAAGAAAATGATCAAGACCAATATTCACAGCGAAGAAAAAGAGAATGCGGAAAGGACAGTAGTAGTAGTAGTAGTAGTAGTAGTAGTAGTAGTAGTAGTAGTAG